CAACCCGATGCCCTTAAAAAATTTCCCATTGTACTTTGGATATCAAGATAGCCATTTTGTAGAGAAAATCCAGCTCTTTCGGTCTACGCAAGGCTGACTTCTCTAACTGGTACCGTTACAAAGTTATAAGCGTTTTTTCTGAGAGCTCTGAAATCAGATAGCTGATCAGTGGTCGGTCTGAAACAGATTGATATAGAAGGTTTCGACCATGCTGAGTGCAACGAGACTACTTATTTTCGTTTTTAAGGCGATGTACAGTAGCCAAATCAAATATTGGAAAGTAGCAGTTTTAATGAGTCATTACGCTAAAATAACAGATTTTCATAATATCGGCCTGAAAACTTTATGCCACTTGATAAACGAAAATAAGTAGTCTCCTTGCACTCAACATGGTCGAAACCTTCTATATCAATCTGTTTCAGACTGACCACTGGTCAGCTAGCTGATTTCAGAGCTCTCAGAAAAAACGCTTATAACTTTGTAACGGTACCAGTTAGGGAAATCAGCCTTGTGTAAACCGAAAGAGGTGGATTTTTTCTACAAAATGGCTATCTTGGTACCCAAAGTGCAATGGGAAATTTTTTAAGGGCATCGTTTTGAAAATATCCGTTGAGAAATGACCAATATTGACCAGTACTTGATCATTCGAGTTTTAGATGAATTGATAAAGTTATCAATCCTCTTTCGATTGCTAAAAACCGTAGATCGCTAATAGAGACCTGCAAAATGGTCACGGTCACGCGTGACCGTGACCGAGTAAGTTTGGTCGTGGTCACGCAGATTTCTAAAACTTATTCCGTTTACAATTGAATTGCGAAATTAAAAGAAATATATGTGTGTTGATTATGTTTATACTTAATATTAAAGCAGGATTAAAGTCAACAACATAAACAATTCGAGAAAAACAATAAGAATAATTAATAGAAATTACGGCACTGCTTCTGAATTTTTTTCCGCTTTCATCATTATCACTTAAGACCCCTTTCCCAGTCCGCAACCGATCCTCGCCTAGGTATGCCGAAATGGGATGAAATTTGGAGCATATGTTGAGGCTGAAGTGAGAAGGCTTTGGTTAAATTTTCGGCGCGATATCCTGACGTTGATGAACTAATCAAGGGTCAAAAGTGGCTCATTTTGCGACAAAGATTTCTCGGTCAAGGCTGTGTCAATATATTTAATTTTTTTCGTTTGAAAGAACATAGCAGGATGCAGGCCACCACAGAGTCCTCTGTTTTAAATTCTTATTTTTTAGCGGAAGAAGGAAATTACGAGTTCAATGACTGAAAAAACGCGCCAAAAATGGGTGTGTATGTCTGTATACATAATAAAAAACAAAGCTTAATTTAAAAAAGGCTCTATGGTATCATGCATCTCGACGTGCTCTTTCAAACAAAAAAAATTTAAATATATTGCCAGGGTCTGGACCGAGAATTCCTTGTCAGAAGATCGAAAAATCATAAACCGAGAAAAAACGAAAAAGATGTCTTGTTTTTTTGAAAAAAGCTAACTTTTCGAAAAGGGGTCGACAGAAATCTTGAAAAGTTTTTGGAAAAAAAGAGGTGATAGTACAAATTTTTATTGTTTATGAAAGATCTGAAGACAGGCTATCTTCCCACCCATTTATCTCAATTTCGACATATTTGATGAAAGTTGATTGTTTTTGAGTAGGGGAGGCTTAACTATTCATATTCACCTTCTTCAGTAGCTTTAACTTTTTTTCAGAATGCCATTATAATCATTATAAGATTCTTCAAAAGCATCATTATTTTTTTCTTTTGGCATAATTGTTGTCAATAGAGATCTACACAATCGTCACGGCCATAGATGGAACAGGCACCCACAGCTAGCTGATCCGGATTTTAGACCGGCTAGTATACTGATAATTGTCGGTCTACGAGTATTTTTCCGGAGTACCGGTTTTTTATCAGTAGAACAGCATTTTACGGATATACCAGTCGCTCCGGCTCACTCTGATGTGTTCAAAAGGGTACCGGTACCGGTCGTCAAAAAACTAGATTGGTTTCATCTATGGTCTCAACCATGCGTGACCGTGACCATGACTAGCTTTGGAAAATCTTCGTGATCGTGACCGTGACTAAGTAGTTCGTGACTATGTCGTGACCGTGACTAAAAAATCGTGGTCACGCAGGTCTCTAATCACTAACTACTTCCATTCTCAAGTTATTCATGTTACAACCGAGTCCACTGACTTTCTGAATCGATAGTAGTATATGTGACTATTATGCAACAAACTTTGCTTCTTTCATCTTCTGACTTGGCAATTAAGTTGATTAACCTTGCGTTCAACTTCGTCAAGGAAATTGACTTTTTCTAAAAAGATTCATCATAGTGAATTAAATATGATTTATTTTCGTTGTAGCTTTTGCTGTACATGAAGAAGCTCGAAAAGAATTCGTTCGACTTGATGGTTTAGAAACATTAATAAAATGTACAATAGTCAATTATGAATATGATCCTTCTAATGTACTGCGAAAATTTGTAAATCCCAATACTATCAGATCACGTTCATTAAATCTTTTATTGGTATTGGCACGTGATAAAGAGGTTGCAGCAGCAATTAAATCTATGCATTCTGATATTATTCAACATTTACAAGAAAAAATCAGTGAAGAAAATAAAACAATAGCTCAAAATATTATTTGGGAATTAGAAGAAAAATCTGAAATAATCACTGAAAAAAATCTTGATGAGAAGAGCAAGAAACAAGCACAAGAATAGAGTACTCCACTGGTGCAACTTTTCGTATCCGTATCCTTGTTACCCGTATCCATATTTTTCTTGCTTTGTAACTTATCCGAATCCTACCTGTACTCGAAATCATAATTCACAATACAAGTTCATTATTTTATTTAGCGGGATGGGTGTGGGGTGTGGGTGTGGATGTGGGTGTGGGTGTAGTGGTTTCCCTTGAAGAGAACACCCTTGCCCCACCCACACCCACCACCACCACCCCCACCCACACCCACATCCTCGATCATCTCGAGTCATCTCTTGTGTAGCAACACTTTCGTCATTTTATTTACTAAAGCGATTTTTTTCGGAAATCGCTTTATTTTTGGGCTTGTCTTTTACGAAAAAACAACATTTTAGATCATTTTTTGCAAGAAGAAAAAAGCCAATATGAAGTCTTTTACGAAACTATGAGTTTTTCTCAGTGATTTTTTTTACAGCAGTACTTTGAATTTTGAGAAAACTTATGTATCCCATTCGAAACCTTATGAGATGGCAACTCTGCTTCTGAGCGTTCAAAAAGTAGGATTTTAGTTGTTTTCTTGTTTCAATATCTTGTAAATAGAACTTTGTTCATAACTGATAAATTATATTTCTCTTAAATTGAATTATTTGAAACAAAGAAAAAATTGCTAAAAAGCTATTTCAGCGTTGATAATTACTCATCTGCAATAAATCATTGTTCTCATCTAAATATTTTGATTAAAAAAAAATCTTAAACTATTTGCAACGGTTTGGCTTTTAAGCCCATTCCATTCAATCTTGAATATCAACCAGATTTAAACCTTTGGGACCGGAATTATTTTTCAATTGAAAAATGGTTCTTTCGTCAATTTATTGTATGTGGATCAAAATGATTACATAAAAGCCTTATGACAATGCATCAAGATAAGAAAGAAAGTGATCATGGCGTCAGTGTATAGAGCAGAAAGAAAAGAGAAGATCTGAGAAGCATCTCTATGACAGAAAGAAAGAGAGGAAAGATATGCATGCGATGGTAGCTGAAACGACCTATTACCTTACAGATGATAATAGTTTTATGAGAAACAAACATTTTCCTTACTGGAAAATAGGTGGTACAACCCTTGTACCACCAGTTCCAAAGGGTTAATCCAATATTTCATTTCTGAAGGAAATTTAACCCTTTCAACATTTTCATGTATATCTATGTGTATCAGCAGCTTTTTCTTTTGCTTCATAACATTCGTATGAAAAAAAAAATACACTGAACTTGATGAACAACTCCTTTGTATTTAACAATATTTTGCTGTTATTCAACAATACTTGACATCCTGTCATTTCTCATGAAAACCACAATGCTCTTCTGAGATTCTATTAGAAATCATCGGTACAGAATGATTGTTTCTTTCCACTTATAAGGATCTCGACAACATCTATTATACCAATGTTGCCTCATTCTATACAGGAAAAATTAGACACTTGAAAAAAATGTAACACAAATTTCCTTTATTTCATTCATTTCTACTGTTGAATTAAAATATTTTAGATATTTGACATGTTTCAAAGAAATTTCTTTCTTTAATATGTTAAAATGAATTCTTATTCTGAGAAAAAAAAGCTAGACAAATTCTCCTAAGATAATAGCAGTTCTTCCTATTATCTCACAGGCTTTTTAATTCAAAACAATATTTCGAAATATTTTTTCTTTCGAAACTTATTCTCTTCGATGTTTGACTCTATGCTTTGTTTCTCGTTTATTCAGTAATTTCGTTAGTTTTTTTTTTTGAAAATTGTTCATACGAACTTGTTGGTAGTGCATGGGAAAACTCATGATGAGTAAATTTCTGGGGTGAAATTGGATTTAGTTTGAGCAAAAAATCTTCTGAAATATATTGAAGTGTCGGAAATCTCTCATCGACAAAGAATCATCAGTTGAGTTTTGAAAATATTTGAAAGACATTTGCTTAAAGCTAGTTCCATTTAATATTGAATATGAACGAGATTTAATTCAGTATTGTACTCTGGAACGAAATTTAATACATTTAATGCTCTCTGGTGGATCTATCAATGTTGTCAATAAAATTCGAAAGTTTTTTTTTAATTTTATTCATCAGACAAGATATAGCATAAGCAGAAAGAGAATCTGATGAGATATTCACTTCTTTGGAACCGTCATTTGTAAGAGTTCTTCGAGAAGCTCGGTATAATTGATGTCATCATTGTAGAAGCGAGTGCAGAAATAGTCGTTTTATTTCTGTGTGATTATTGTCTTATGAGTCTTTTTCTTTTGTGAACTCGTGGTGAGTAAGAGAAATTGTTGTCGAAAGATGACTTATTTGCCTTGCAGACTATTGATGAACACTCAGATGTTGAGTTGAGTCTTGTTCGTACGGTTTTTGAAACGATTCTTTAAACTTGAACGAGAGAAGGGATCGTCAAGCGAATATGACTTCGCTGCCACAACAATGTAGTCGGAAATCAAGTGTAATATTCGGCAAGCCCGAATATCTGAATTCTTGGATGGATGACCGGGAAGTGGACTGATGGATCGCGAACAAACATGATATTCTTGGTACTACACTAACAGAATTCTTGAGACATTTTCTTTTCTGTTTTTCGTATTTGTCTATTTCAGATTTATTGTCATAGTCGTTTTACTTATCAAGAACGTAATAGAAATTTTGAGCCGAATAGTATGAGCTTTTCTAGTATCTTCCTTTTTAGAAAGATCGTGAGAAATTATTATTTTATTCAATGTCCGATTCATTCTTGATAACTCATGTATTGGATTCCTGATGTTAATGATTGTGCAATGTATTATGAACTAGGGAACCGCTAGTAAATTATTTATATGAAATAAATGACTTATTCAGATAACACACGTGACTCTAGCTATGTTTGTGTCATTACCTTACAATTAGATCTTGGCAATTGTCTGATTTATTACAAGGCCTGAGAAAGTTAATAAGTCGAATTTTTTCCTTTTATTTAGAGTTAGGTCAGATTTTAACCAAAAGCCTGTGAGAAGAGTGTAAGTGTGGGTGGTTATGGACGTAAATTTTGGACTTATCTATGCAGTCACACCCAGAATGGTCATCATGAGTCTCTTCAAATGAAACATTAAAAACCATATCAGATATCTTTGATACTATATCTTTACCTTGAAGTTCAAATGAGAATCTTACTTTACAGTTCTATTTTGAGGTTAAATCATTATTTTGTCTATTTTTCCTACATTAATAATGCTTCTCTATGTTTTCTGATTGTATTCAAATTGAAAAAAACAATTCAAGTCGAAATGAAAATATTTAGTACATTTGGTTATTTGACTTAAAAAATTGAAATAATTCAAAGGACAGAGAAGTATGATTTTTATGTTTAAAGTTTAGACGAAAAAGCAACATGAACTTCTTATATATCTAATAAAAATGATTATTTACATGAATTATGTTACAGATTAAATAGTTCAAAGGTCCAATCCTATATACTATATGATAATAATAGAAATAAAAAGCACAACTTGATGATGATACACAATGGCAACAATAAATGATTAGCAAAATTGCTCCCGTTTCACTTCAATCTCGAATTTCATCCGAATCAGTTTCTTTTAATTGAGATGTCACCAAAAGAAAATATATTCAGGATATGTCTATATTGCTACTTGTATTAAGAAAATTTTCTTATTCTTCAGCAGCTGACAAAGGGTGTGGGTGTAACTCTTCTATTCTTGAACATTCACACTTGCACCCACACCCACCACACGATGATATGAATCTCTTTAGATAGCGTCATTCTTTGTATTGTATTGACACAAAAGTAGATTTGACCTCTTTACTCGACCAACATTCGATTAGTCTATTGATTTTGCAGCAAAACAATGATCATCATTGTTTAATGTCCAACAGCACGATCATCTTTGTAGAAATAGATCATGATCGTCGTCTGCTATGATCGTCTAGGTCATAATATATATAATCACGACGAACAAGTGTATATCTTTCTATTCTTGTTGCATAATTCGATCAGTGACACTGATAGTATCATACACAAGTCAAAAGGGGTCAAAACAAAATAAGGTATGATCTTGAATTAAATAACAGCAATACATGAAACGAGGAATTTTTGTTTCCGTTTATTTTCAAAACATACTTTAGAAAACAAAATTAACGTTTTGAGAAATATCTATACGAGTGCATGGCTCATTTTGACGATTTGCCTGATGAATTGTTACTCATCATTTGTTCCTATTTGAAGCCGACTCATGTACTGAAAGCATTTATGAACTATAACGATCATCTATTTCGTTGTATTTCCAATTATCGCACGAATCTCAATTTGACAAAATGTTCCTACGCTGATTATCAATATATGGTGAATCAGATGCTTCACTTGACACTTCGTCCATCGACTTTGACAATCAGTAATGCCTTGATTCCGCCACAGGTCGAACTGTTCATATCTACCTGTGTCTTGTGTAAGTCCTACTGCACATATATACAGCGACTAGAATTACTCGCTTGCACCGAACAATGTATAACTCTTATAAATATTTACATTGGTCATTTCCATAATTTACAATCACTTCGTATTGTCGAGTCAATGCCTCGTTCGTCTTTGTCATCAATCAACTATTCAACTATCGAAAATTTGCGTAGTTTGATGTTTGCCAACAAATTTCATAAACTTACTGAACTCGAATTGACTACGCAGATGGGCATCATTTTGGACAAACAATTGTGTTCAAACAAATGTCTAAAACACTTGACGCTTTCATTGAGAACAATCGATGACCTTTTTGTTCTACTTGATGGTCTCGTACCCAATTTGATCACGCTCAATGTAATTCTATGCAATTCTCGTATTCGTACTCGATCGCCATTACCACCAATGTGGCCACGTCAAAGAATGTATCACATGACTGAATTTCGACTGACTATTGACGAACAAATTAATTTGTCTTTTGATCTTCTGCATGATATTGTCGCGCCTCTAATCCAACTCGATTCATTCTCACTCATCATTCGAGGACTGACGAGTGATATTCGCTTTACACAAGGCAATCAGATCGAGATGCTACTTGATAAATACATGGCTCGACTTCAATATTTTTCCTATTATGTGAAGACAAGTTGTCAAATTGACATGAAGGTACTTAATAGACACTGAAATATATACTATATCTTTGATTGCATTCATCTTTTCTTGAAGAGTTTTACTCAACTAACAAAACGCTGGCCAATGGCGTGTCAAATGACATCCAACCATGACAACAGACATGTATACACGATACCATGGCCGCTTGAACATTGCAATCTGTCGATGTTAGCCAAAGACGATGCTACGAGTGTATGTTCTAACGTTGTCTCACTCGTTGTTGACATACCATGTCATGGTATGAATTTGTCTCATCGTTTTCCTAACATTCATACTCTCACCACTCTGTCAACACATAAACCTGATCTTGGTAATTTTCGTCGACTTCGACATCTTGTGACGAATAACATGGAATCGGTTTCTTGTCTCGCACAACGCATCAATACATTAACACTGATCAATGACAATGATGCTAACTTCAAGACAATTATTTGCTCACATGTGCACCACTTGACTATTTCCAATTTTTACGTCAATAATGTGAACACAATTACTTCGCTTATGCCGTGTTTTCCCAATCTTCATTCCCTCCATATTCAATTTCAATCAAATGCTACCGTGTTTCGCGACAGTCTTGATATACTATTTGATGCTCAACTAAGACCTGATTTTAAATTACTTCGTACGAATTGGATTCCAACGAATTTTTATGACTACAAGTGCATCAAAATGTGGATCGCTGACAATACAGAACTTAAATCGAGATCGATCCCGTTTCATGGCCATTGTGATGGTAAATCTTTGACTGTTTGGCTTTGATCGTTTCATATATGGTTACAAGGAAAATTAGAACTTAAAGCAAATTAAAATCAACTTTTTTTTTTTGTATTTTGTAAATAAAAATTGCAGATTTTGATTTTTCTTGGATGAGAGTGAGGATAAGGATGAAAGAGGGAAATCATGATCATCCTCATCCTCACGTCGTCTATGACAGAAAAAGGAACATAAAAATTTTGTTGATTAACCGCAGGAATGGTGCAAAGCTGTCCGGAAACACCTCGATTGAGAAAGCTCAAAACATTCCCTTTCGATGAAGGCAAGGAACGACGCTTTTCCTGTATGCTCAAGAAAGATATTCTGCCAATCATATATTGTAATATGTTACTTAAGTGAGAAAGAAAATCAAAGAAGAGTAGCTATTGACAGCGTAATGAGCGAACGTCTCCATTAAGCAAAAAATGAATGTGGCGAAACGAACAGACGTCAAAGAAAAGTGACCATAACAACCATCCTATCATCAAGTACAGCCAATGCTTCAGTCACTTGACAGCTGAGAAGAAATATATGAAGATAGCTCATTTCTTGATATACATCGAACTTTCAATGAAGTGTTTAGCATTATTCAGATTTTTTTATTGTAATAATTGTCGAAAACCCTAAAGTATCATAACAACTGCAAAAATTCGATGATCCGTCATGTTTCTGACAGAAATTTGGCCACATTAAAATCTATATTGATAATTCTCTTTTTGGATAAAACTCATGCTTTTATCATACACATGGCTACAGATGAAATACTCGACATTCAAGAAATTCGATTGGACCTTCGATGGCACCCTAGAAAAGACCTTATGGAATTTAATCAAGAAAAAGAATAGGTAAGAAATTTGACCACAAGCACCTTGCACGGTTCGTAGAAAAATGATTCGATACCTCCGATGATTTTGATAATGATCCTCGATCTCTTTTGTCCATGTCGATCTCGTATATTGATCGTCGTTTCATTCGTAGAAATTCAATCTAAATTCGTGTATATTCAAATTGAAAGCATTTTTTAACGAAAAATGAGTAAACTTTAAACTAACATCTTTCACTTTCGTGATATTCAATAGTTGCAATACGAAGTTGGTCAATGCAATTTATCTTCATCATAAATCGTTTCTCATTTATTTTTAACGATCGAGACGCAAAGAAAAACAAGAAACATCAATACATTCCATTCTTTAGACAAAATTAGAGGGATTTTTCGACAATCGGAGACTTCGATCTGAGTGAAAAACAAACTGTCAGAATGTTTTAACTCCTGCTATAAGTTATTAGACATTGTGCACTTGCACGAACCCTTCTGAACAAATTGTGAAAATGCGAACATAAATTCATCATTTCACATAGGCGTACACATTTTCTTAAAATTAAATAATGAAAAAGTACAAATAAAATGAATAAAAGAATACGAATGAATAAAGTTCTACGATGACCGATGATATTGCATGTGTCATATGTTCGATATATGTGCGCGTACCATATTTTCTACAAAGTAAAAACAATATTAAATTAATTCATTAAAAAGAACATGTATACTACGATGATAAAATCAGAAAGTGTGAATGAACTTTATTTATGTAAAAGTTTTGTCTATGAGTGGCATAACCGAAACCAATCTCAATATCAGATTTTTATAGGAAGTCATTGGATCCTCTGGGATCTGATTAGAGAGTATTCTCGATGAGGAAAATATCTTATATTGACACATCCTATCTGTCACTTTATCCTCGACCACGGAAACAATTCATTTCAAAACAAAAAATATCAAGAAAAGGAATACTACGAAAACTAATACTGTGACTAATATTTTGTTCAAATACTTCGCTCATTATGCTCTCGATTTTATCATTATTCTATTCATAAATCTGATCACGTCGAAAATGAATGAATTTGACGTTTTGCAATTACTAGATCGACCAATTCATGGAGACTATATATGCGCTCCATATCAGCACTATTGTCTCGTTCATCACCTTCAGTATGTCGCGTCCTGCAAGTAGCTGCGACCAATACCAGTACTATAATTAAGAGCATGAGTATTTTAATATTGATCATTTTCGATTGATGACACTCGACAGTTCGAGGATGAGTATTGGTAAATTGTTGATTGAAGAGCAAATGAGTAGTTATATTTTCATAGTTATAATTTCAGCCTTATACACTCGTCGATCGACATGGAGAAAAAAATATAAGAAAAGTGCATTCTCTCTCCTTCTGAGTATTATTAGACCCTGTATTTATATTAGTAATACTATGTGAAGCAAATGTAATTACTGAGAAAAAAACTTCATAAATTATCAATAATACACCCTAAAGCGGAGAAATTGATAGTTCTTCTCGCGTATACATGAGAAGAAGGTCAAGGGAGAACAAACTGATTTCGATAACAGAAAGCCATTTGAAATTGTTCAAAATCACTGCTATTATATACATATATCAACTTCTCAAAATTTTAGATATGTAATAAAAAAAAAACCAAGAGTACACATTTCTAATACAATTTCTGTTGACTCTATCGCATTAAATATTTATCTGAATTTGTTGTTTTGAAACTTAGAAAAACATTCAACAAAGCAACATAGTGAATACTTAAAGAGATATTTTTTAAGGAAAAACAAAGATTAAAATGAGAGCTTTTATAAATAACTACAATGTTTTTGTACTTTAGACTTTTAAATACTTTATTTTTATTTATCGCTTTTTGAATCTCTTATGGTAATGTGAATAGTACCTTCGATTTGTCCTTTTATGCGCTTTCGTCATTTGTAGAAGAAATTATTCAGATAACCATTTATCTAACTTTGAATATATTTCTGTTGTAGCTCGTCATCGTCCTCAAACTGCAGTATGTACATGTTCTCAATTAACTGAGTTTACATTATTTAAATCATCTATTGAATTTTTTATTTATGATATCAAATTTATTCTTGCTTATATGAAAAATTTAATTAAATTAACCTTAAGTATTCATGATACATTTGATCTACGATTTTGTTATGGTTTCAAATTTGAATCAATTTTAAGTGGATGTCTTCTACATCTTCGTCAATTTCACTATACAATGACTCATCCAATAGCTAATTAAATATTAATTGAAGATTGTGTTCGTTGGCTAATGAATGTTACATATTATGGTGAAGAAGATTGTAAATGGATACATATTTATTCTTTACCATGGCCATCAAATAAAAATGATAAACGACAATTACCTGTTGTCATAGTTGGCACAAAACCAACAGTTTATCGTCAGATATTAAAAGACCTGAAAATATGAAACCTATGATAGTTACAAAAGACAGCGAATTTATTCTATTAAATACAGAATTTTATTATGCTTGTAAAACAATAAGTTATCAATTGATATTAAATTGCCATTTCATATTCACAAACTAATTTTTTCAGACAAAACACGTGTCTTTTATCAAAAAAAGATAATTGTTGATAAAATAGTTTTAGCTATTTTTTCGATAAATTCAACCTTTTGTTCATCATTTAATTGTTGAACGTTGGTTGCATGATGAAAAAGAGATGTCAATTCTCGCTCATCAATTTCCACATGTTAAATACTTAAAATTGTTTCTTCCATTAGATAAATGTTCATTTATTAATTGTTCAAACATTTTATTCAATCGCGATGATTAGATTGAAAAGAAATATTCTTATTGGTCTGAATTGATCTTTTTTTCAACAGAATTGTTTGATGAACGCAATAGTATTATTTCCCATGAAAATCAATTGTATAATTTATTTATTCAATATATAAATGTAAAAGATCATAAAAATCTTTTTGATATTCATTTTGCTCCTTCAACTTTAACTGTTTGGTATTTATTATTTGAATATTTAAATAAAATCATTTGAATTTCTATTTAATATCAGATCAATAAAATATTATCTTAAGCATTTTTGTTTTTCGTAATAAAACTAATGGCTATACTGTAACATCAATGATTCGTTGAACAAGACTTTCAACAAAAAGATTTTTATGCAACATAGTCCTTATTCTCTTTGAAGCTGTATTAATCAATAGAACTGATAATATTTCTAAATAGGTACACTATATTGGAACTGAAAACTAAGTCTACCATACTGAGGTGAATTGTAGACAAAATGCCACTACTATAATGAATATCTTCGACTTCTAATAGTCGAAAATCTAAAGAAAAGTCAATTATTGAACTAATTCATTGACATAAAATAGACAAAAAAAACCTATTTTAAAGAAATAATTGAATATTTATTCATACGATTATATTTAAATAGGTGCAGAATTTGCTTAGAAACACAAACTGATTCAGAGATTGACGTCGATAGGTGAATATAATATCATTTTCCTTTTGTGACTATGATCGCTGAAAGTTTTCGATGATTTTTTCAAATTTCGTTAGTTTCGAAAATTTTTCAATTGAAAAAAAGAAAACATTTTGATTAAAAATTAGATAAAAGTATTTACAAAAAAAAATTTAACTTGACAAAAGAACCTCTTCAGATAAAAGTATCTCTTATGAGAATTGAACAATGTAAAAGGAATGTATATTTTTAGGAATTAGCTTTGCAGTAGCGAGTTATAGAGATTAAAATGATTCCAAAAGATATAAGCTTTGCTGTTTCTATTGTATCTAACAAGACAATCAACAGGATGAAACTAAACAAAAGTTTTTCATATGATTAAGACAGTAAACAATTCCGTCTGGTCTTTTAACAATGATGGGCTTTTAACCATCAATCGGATTTTCTACCGGTTGTCATCTTCAATCTTTCTTTTTGTTGCAGAATAATACCCAGACCAATCCATGTGTATAAAGGTTAAACAAATCTATCTCTATTTCTATTATCAAGCAGATTTTTACTACAATTGTCGAAGTAGAAATTCGAGATGTTCTCATAGCTCCAGTTGCATTAGTTCCTCGTTCCTTCGTTGCTGTTGTTCCTCCTCTTTCAATTTTTTAACGATATCAGTTTGGTTTAACTGTTCAAATTCGTCCTGTATCAGTGTTAATTGTTCTAATGGAGCAAATTCTTTCAATTCATGCAATTGTTCTTGTTTTCTTGGATCTTTTAGATTTATTCTTTCTAAATCCTACATTTCCAGAAGTCTATCAGAGAGGTCTTCGTCTGTGCGTTCATCAAATATGTCCAGATGCTGCCATTTTTTTCGATTAGCATTTATGTCGAATTAGGGATATGACCGAGGGTGTGGGTGTGGGTCGGTGTGGGGAAGATGTGGTGGTCTGTTGAGCTACACACACCCACACCCTTCGAACATTGGACAAAAAGGCTTTGACCTCAGATTACAAGCGCGGTATATTTCTCTATTTTACAGAGGGTGTACAGATGAGGTTGAACAGAACTAATCATGCACATCTACACCTAAGCATTGTTTCAACAACAATGCAAATCACTTATATTGTAGTTATTGGGCATAATGTCAAGATAAAATTTTCTTCTCTTAGAGATTATTAACTTTATCAAATCTTGTCATATCACTATTGCGTTCTTTTTTTTATCATGTACACGTTCATTCATTGTGACTCATCTAAAAATGTAATTTCTTATCGCGATTCTGATATCTCTAAGCTATTAATGTAACTACAGGATGGCTGTGAATATCAATATTGATGAAATAAAAATTCCCTTTCAGACACAAACATCTGTTTCCATCGATCAACATCCGAAGTATAGTAGAGTGAATAACATTATATTTCTATGAATCATAATGTACACAAATAAAACTTTTATATTACATTAAAATAAGAAAGGCTTTGTTACAAAAAAAATAAAATAGAAGTGCTGATGCATCGTATTTAACGACTGAAATACAATAAATAAATTTTTAATTTGGTAAATACTGTAGCCATGTCTATGTGGATTCAGATTATGTAAAGAGGAATTATTTCATTAAGAGAAATTTACATGCTTCTCGTCCGGCTATCAGTTTCTACTTTCAACGAACAGGTATACATAATATTTACTTCTCATTTTTCTTCATTAACTGCTTTGAGAGTGGTTTATATTTTCTTTTGCGTGCTCTTTCAATTATTTGTTCCACAGGTGTCCAATTATAATCATTCGTTGCTGCAATAGCTATGAGGTTGTTGTATTTATCGAAATAAAGAGACTTTAGCTGATATTGAGCTTGAATCTTTTTGATATTTGCGTGTTGTTTACCAATGAATAGACCAATTCCTTCTTTTGAAATCTTAAAACGTCTGCCATTTTCAGGTAGTTCATAGTTACCAGAGACATATTGTTTCCGTTGATATACAGTTATAATTAAACCATTTTTACTAACCACCTTATCGATAAATGCATTGATGTGGCTTCGTGGTTGCAAGAGTTCTGAAACTGGAATTTGTCTTTCTTCGGCTCGCTCAGTCGCATGACGACTCATTCGAAGTACATCGAGTGAAAAGTCACCATAATAAGAATCATTGTATAACATGATTTTGTTTTTTATGAGCTTGGCCATGAGTCTACGTAGAAGATAAACCTTTATATAAAACAAAAAAATGCAAAAGTGAGATATAGGTGCTACGATATGAGTTGCCTGACGTCTATGACCACCGTTTATTCAGAAACTAAATTTCTTCTTTCAACAATAAAAAACAATGTATTTATACACATACTGTTGCGTAATAATACTAACTAGATTCTACATATTGACTCTTAATTGGTTTACAATATATGTGACACATATTCTTGCACAATAATTCGAACTTTAATTCTCTCTCTTAGGGCACACCTCTAATGCATGAAAAAAACAAAGATATCTTTTTTAAGCAATTACTTACAGTGTAATTTTACTTCTTTAAGATAATGAAATGACGATGTATCAAAACAAAGATTTATCATTGCACAAGAAAAGAAAAAAGGTGTCTCTACTAATTGAGTTAACCTTGTGTCACATTCTTATGTTGATCAACTGTTGTAACTACACGAAGCATTCATACAACAAACGTGTATAGTATTACAAGTTTTCTTAGTTCGAAAGAAAATGGCAGACCAGTGGCTCATTGTACAGAAAAAATGATGAATCTAGTATATTCAAAATACACATTGAATAATGGGAAAAAAAGAAATCTGACCATAAGAGGAATATAGAGTACAGGTACCTTATGTGACATATCATATATTATGACAACATCTCTCTTATGGTAGATTGAGGATGACCTTTATTTTAATTACTGCGAAGATCAAAGCATTGACGTCAACACACATGAATATTCAAATGATTCTATAGAACTTTACATTGACATATTGCTATGAAATTCTTATATGATTTTTGCGAAAGAAAAAGCCTTCAAACTATGGTTCAATACATCGTACAGAAATAATATATCTAACTCTTTCATAAAGATTATCACATATGCCTTCATTTAAACTGATGTTCTCAAAATATTGTTTAATCATATACTTTAACCATGCACTTGATTTGTGCTAAACTGGCACATGAAATCAAAGAAAGCGAAACTATTTGAAATTTATTATTGAATTATAAGTGAATAATACAAAAATAAGCATTAATATGTTTTGACATTTTGATTGTTGGTGGCGAAGAGAATAATATGCTCATTCACAATATATCGATACATGAAAGATATGGAAGTTGAATTCGATTCTATATATCTCGAGTTTTGAGAATTCCAAACAATATAATCAACTAGGCAAAACAGACAACAAAACCATTTGCAAAGGAGGAAGGGAAATTTTCTGTTAATTTTCATACTGACTAATTGTTGTTTGCGTATCAAGAAACAGACACAGTGGTACTAAATTTGTATTCAGTCATTGGGATTATGGATAAATCTATAAGGGAGTTCAGCTATGTTGATATCCATCTTAACGGTTCTTTGTTGCAACTGGCGAAAGTTTAAGTTGGAGCAGTCGCACGTCTGCAGATGAAATTATCAAGTTAAACACCTGTTAAATTATGTTTTTTTATGTTTCTTATGATTGAAAATTGAGTCTACTCCCAACATGTCGAACATAAACCTTTCGTAAATTTCAAATAGATACAATAGTCTTATCACCACCAATTATATGATTTATCTGAAGAAAGAGTTAAGTAGTTCTTTCGTTTGTTTTAAAGCTCAATCAATCCGAGAACATTCTGCACATGGACATAAATAGGATAATCATAAGCATGGTTTATTGAGTTTTATTGTTTTTCAACCATGTGAAAAATTGCTTCACAGATCCATAATGGATAATACTAGTTGATATTTCAGGTCTTTTTTCTTTGAGCAATTCTAACGCATTTTCTGGTGACATATTTTCATTAACAACTAAATGGCATAACACTATTGTAGCACTTCTTCCCATACCAGTTTTACAATGAACAAATATTTTTTCATTATTTGTATAAGCTTCTTTTATAAATATCATCGCTTTTTCAATTGTCTTTTATGATGGTGCTGTACTATCTACAGTTGGTAATTGTAACTGTTTTATATTATATTTTTTATATGTTATACGTGGACCATTATATTCAGCACACATATTAATAACATATTTTATTCCCATATTGTTTAATGACTCTACATTCGCAGGAATAGGCAAACAACCTGAATAACAACAATTTGCTATTTGACTACATAATGAGTTTAATGGATTGTTTAATAATTCAAAGACAATAACTAATAAAAATGCTGGTATATCATATAATAAAGGTATAATATATCGTCTTTTATCATTTAAAGCCATTTCATGTTTATTTCGAACAAAAGTAGTAAACATTAATGCATATGGAAATAAATGTTGAACTTTATTTATTGGTATGTCAGAATAACCTAATAATGAAGCAATACTTCGGATGATAAATGTCCATATAAATACATTCCATAAGTTAATTATTGATAAATATTATAATAATCGACATAAACCATAATATAAACGTTCTGATCGTGGAGGGTGTGGGTGTGGGTGGGGTGTGGGTGGCTGGGTGTGAGTGTCGATGTTCTAATGATCTTTTCCAACACCCTCACTCACACCAACCTAAAGACAATGTCATTGAAAATGCAGCTATTTTTATTTCCGAACGAAAGAGATTTCTAGTCAAAACCAAGTCAAAAGGAAATCGAAAGCGAGAACACTAATGATGACGTTGAAAGTTGAATATTTGAAAATAAATTTGAGCAATTGATTTGAAACTGGCTACAGAAAACTTAGACATTGATGTACTTCTAACCAATGTAGTCCCAATCCAATTGGAATAAGTTCGTTTGAGTATCGTAGGCCGTAGGTAATATAAAATGGCTGATCAACCAATGAAGACCGTTTGATTGTACTGTTAGTTCTTGTAAAACGTTTTTAAAATGAATCTAAGGTACTAGTAATTCAAAGTTACAATAGACTCAATTTTTAGGTCAGATCACACCCACACCCTCTCTCACACTCACATACCGCATTCACAACCTTTTTAGCAAAAAATTCGAAATTAACATTCTTTCTTCATGATAAATTTTTTTTTTATCATCTTGAATCAAAGAGTTATCATAGAAAACATACAATGAGTGGCTATTCTCATTAACTTTCATTCTTATATCTTGTTTTTGTCAAAGCTAATCTATTAAATTCAACTATTTTACTTCTACATGCGCATACTTGATATTTGTTTATAGGTAAAATAAAACTGACAAATACAAGAAAAAAATTCAAGGAAAGATTCTCTTTTCTTTTATATTCAAACAATGATAAGAACAAAACAAATCAACCGCTTTAAATATATTTTGTATGCGACATTTTATCATCGAAAGCTTACTTTAAGGACGCATGAAAAGCATAGTATTAGTTTATCTACTATTTATTACTGTTGCTCATAGTCACTCCGCTTGTGATGAAATATCATTGGTTACTCGAATTGAATGGGGCGCACGAGAACCAACTTCAATAACAAATCTAACATCCAAACCTCTTTCATTCTTTGTTATTCATCATGCTGAGGATCCTTCAAGGTAGATAAATTCCATTATAAGATAATGTAGCATATTTTATTATTCATAGTTGTTATGATGATGAATCATGTATTGAACGAGTGAAAGAGATTCAAATTTTTCATCAAAATAGCCAAGGCTGGGTAGATATTGGTTATCATTTTCTAGTTGGTGAAAATGGTAAAGTTTATGAAGGTCGAGAATGGGATCGTCAAGCTGCTCATTCACCCGGATGGAATAATGATGCATACGGTGAAAAAATCCTATATAATTTTTAAAAACTGTATTTTTCCTATTAAAAAAGGTATTTGTTTCATTGGTAATTTCAATACATCAAGTCCAAATGAAAAAGCACTAAAAGCTGCACATTCATGGATTAAATGTGGTATTGAACGAGGTTATGTCACAAAAGATTTTTATGTTATTACTCATCGACAATCACAACGACCAGGTTATACCACATGGTAGCGTTTTTTCTTGTTTCTTCGAAATGATATTTTTCGTAGTTGAAAATCGCTTTTGAGTTCGAACGTCTTATATAAGGTAAGTAAATTGATAACAAATTAGAAAGCTTAAAACAAGTAAAATGTCGAAGCAGCTTTCAATAATGAGCTATAGTCGTTTTCCTTAAGCTTTAGTTTAACACATTACATGTACGAAAGAAAACAATAAAAGAATGCTCGTCCCATGAGATAGTCAATTTCGAGACATATCAAACTTTCGAGTCTTCCCTATAGTGCAATGTGAAGAAATTAGAGAAATTCTTGTTGCAAATAGGCTTTTCCACAGACAAAATGTCCGTATTTAATTTCTTTGTAAGTTACAGTCAGTAAAATGAAATCTAACTAGAACGACTATAACTCCGTACATAAAGTTTAGATACACTTCATGCTTTGAATTTTTTAATAGCCGCTTATTACCTACTTGCTAAATACAATTCGCACTAGAAGCGATTATCAAGAGTACAAGAACTCATCATGAGTATAAACGTCATTTAGATAATTTTTTTTAATTTAGTCCTGGTGATGCTCTATTTAACGTCGTAAGATCATGGCCACAAGCTTGTTCGTTTCAAAATCCTGGATGGAATTTAACAGAAAATAACACATGGCCATCTATTGCTCTTAAGCTCTGTGCAAAAGAACTTGGATCATTCACATCCCCGTCTTCATTGCTATCCGCTTCAATACATCTGACGGCCTCAATTTTTTTATTCTATCTGTTAATAATCTATTTTTTTTAAAGAAACCTTTTCGTTTTTCTTCACTACGCATCTGTAATTTTATTTAATACAAAATATATATATATATCAATACGAAATGGTATTTCATATAAACTATTATGTTGTGTGAAGTATATGAGAGAATTGCAAAATTATTGTACCGTTTGATTCTTATATGTAAAAGTTTAATATCTCGAGTTTCTCTCATTCAATCTTCATGATTTTTTCAGGGTAGAATCCTCTAGTAAGTTCTCACTACCACACAAAAAATTGCGATTTTATCTCGGATAGATCTTGAGATATTAGGAGCACAAGGATAAATAGTCCGACTTTGACTGCTACCTATTGGAAGAAAATGTTATATAACCGATTGGTTCTCCTTTCATTTGAACTTCAAAAGTTATAAATATTACAGTTAACAGTATGTACTTATCGGATATAAAACTGATTGGTTGTTCCATGATATTTGATATGACACTTTTTTCTGTATATCATGTGTACAGTCAACCCTTAAATTCCTGTCACGCGAGATTGAAAATGACTTTAGTATGTAACAACGCGTCTAAAATTGGTCGGGCTGGTGTTGAACGAGAGTCGGTTGGTAGGAGATAAAAGTGACCAAAGACGATGAGAGAGTTGTGCTGGTCTTTGTTAGAATATAATGTGAAATATAAATTAAAAACATAGTTGTCACATTAAATGTCACGCGAGATTTTTTTTTTGTCTGACGTATAACTCTCTTCAGGTACGGTATTTTGAGCTGAAATTTTGATCATTTTATCACCTGATCGTGGCTAACTATCATCAAAAATATCAGCGTCAGAAAGTTTGTCTTTCGTACAAAAGAGAAGAAATAATTCAAAAATGTCATGCGAGATTTTCTGGAAAAAATGTCACGCGAGATTATTAGGTGCATAAGTACCCCACAGCTGAAGTACAATGAATACATTATACATTTAAATTGGTTTCATATTTAAGGGCCTATCAAGATTCATACCAACTATCTCTAGTTTGTGTCTCATAAGTTAGTAAACTCCAAAAAGAAAAGATCACTAACTATATACATTCTCTAATTGGCTACACATTTACTAATTCTATCGCTGTATAAGTGTAAAAACCAAATATAATTTAGACCAAATCATGTTTTTCAGTCGCTACTTCTACATTGAACATAGTTCCTTATCAAAAAAGAAAAGGCTCAATGTAAAGACCTAAAATATCGTCGAAAAATTCAACTACCGAATGTAGTATCAAAATCATTCGTCCTCAATTTTAAACAGTATTTTCAGAAAAACTCTCATATCTCGGCCAATTTGATATCGGCAGTCGGGAAAATTTACTCACATCCTCCTCTCACATAACACTATAGAATGCATTAATCATCGTTTTCAAAATCGAAAATTTTTTTTCGTCCATTTTTTTCTCGAAACGGTACAATAATTTTGCAATTCTCTCATATTCTCAACGCGTGACAAACCAGCCAAAAGCATTTTCATATGTTAATATTTATATCGTATCCCTTGTCCTGTTTCATACTACAGTGATATGTTATAGAAGGGAAAATTTCTCTCTTGTCTAAAGTATGTGTATATGATACGAAAAATAAAGTATAAGGCTCAATATTTATTTTTTCATCGTCAACAGCTACAATCACTGACTAGGTATGTCTTTAAAGCCTGAATTCATATTTGGTGGCAATAAGTTTGCCATCATTTTCTAACAGAAAATCAATTCAACATTTCAAATTATGGTATAGAAGCCTAATTTTATTTTTGATGCGAAATTTCTTTTTTTGTCTAATAAATGTAGTTCTTATCTCATAATTTTATCATTTGATGACTGAAAATGTAATGAGCTTTATTTGTATATTACTTCTTTTTTTGAGAATCTATACGTATCAAAAGTATTAATATCATTTGCTTGCTCATTTCTATGATTGATTTTATCTCTCTTTCAAAACATTACCTTGTTTGCATAAACATTGCTGACTTCTCTTTTATTTCGTTCCTCATCCGTTTCAATCTTTTTTTTCCTTTCTTTCATGTTGTGTCTTATTCTATTTTATGAAGAAAAGAATAATATTGAAACGATAAATGAACGATACTCATGGTTGTTTCTTGTCAACACAAACAGAAATAAAAGAAAAACATATGTATCAATGAATAGTAGCTAACCTCACAATAGAAATATTTTTTCAAAAGAACTCTTTATTGAGAATAAGCAGCCATGACTGACTTCGACCTTGTTTAAGGGTCTCATCAGATGGCACTATTCAAATTCATCATCATCAAATGACGATGAAACTACAATTAAGGGTGCGGGGTGTGGAGTGTGGGTGTGGGTGAGTGGGCGTGGATGAGTGAGTGTGGGTGTTCATCTTCCCTTAGCAAGGTCTACATTCACATCCACACCCCCCCCCCCCACACCCACAGCCACAGCTACAGCCACACCCACCCACATCGACACCCACATCCACACACCCACACACCCAATCTGATTAAATCTGAATTTAGAATCAGAGTAATCCAAATGTTTATTTGATATTTTTCGCTGAATTAGAAGGAGTCAGGTTGTTACAGGTT